TTCAGATAAAACGCGTCGCTTCCTTCGCGCTCTCTACGATCTCTATCGGGTATTATATTGCGCCTACGTACGATCGTACGTACGTTTACGTAAAACTCGTCGAGGACGCGCGACGTGGAAATAAATAAAGAAAAAAAGAAAGGAAGAAAGAAGAAAGAAAGAAATAGAAGAATTTAATATCGCTTTTTTTCGACCGTTGTTTCTTTGAATCGCGCGAGAATGGATATTTATAACGATGAACTGGAAGATTATCGTTTCCTATGAGATCATAGAAGAGCACACAAGGAGTGGAGGAGAGAGAGAGAGAGAGAGAGAGAGAGAGAAGTGTTTGTCGAAGTTCTCGTAAAAAAGAAAAAAAACGAGATGTTGCGTAAGTATCGATCATTAAGAGCGTGTAAGTCTTGCAAGTATTACACGAATGGCGCGAAGTTTCCTGTCTCAGTCAAGGATGCGCGGTTGAGTCAATTGTTTCCTCTTCGCATTCGTGGCAAGTTTCGAATAACTGTCCTCTTCAATTGGATTCAATCCAGCAATCTTGACTATATTAGAATTCTCGTCGTCGGTTTTCGATTTTTTTGAATTCTAAGATTTTCTCGAATATTCTTTAGAAAAAAATCTTCAGAAGAATTGAAGAATCGAAACCCTGATGTCCCTGAAATATGAAAATTTTTTAGACAGGCGTAACAAGAGAGATATCGTGAGAGAATAATAAAACCTCGAACGGATATTTAAATATCGCTTGGTCGATTTTCATCGTTTCGCAATTTATCCATTTAATGTAACTGCGACGTGACTACGATCGTCAATGTTATTTTGACTCTTTCCTCATAGGACGAGTCACGATCGTATCGTAAGCGAGCGCTGATTCCTCCTCGCAGCTGTGCTCTCGTTCGACGTGATTCTCAATCGTAATGCGCGGCTCGTTACAGGGCATAAGTCAATTAAGTCGGTATTAGCCAATCGGGTCCTTTTTGTTTGATCTCCTTCGTATCATATACATCACGTTTACATTCGATAAATAAATTCCGAATCGATGCGATATTTCCACGCGAAATTCTCGTGGAATTCTCTTTGGAGAAATTCCACGATTTCGATCCTGCGTTATTTATATATTTATATTCGTATTTCGCTGTTTCGATTTTAACAAGATTATATTTCAAATTTTTATGAATACTTTCGTTTCCGAAGAGGGAACAGACACAAGGAATATATTTCTGGGACGCAAGATTTTTTTTTTTTTTATTAATAGGTTGTTTCGCGAAAGGTTCTCTACTCTCCGTTTCATTTAAATGGCACGCATGTAACACGGTGTCACGCGTGACTGAAATTATATTCCATTCGTGGACGTGGCTAATTAACATCGAGGAAGGTTAAACGTCGCCGCTACGTCGAGACGCTCGAATTTAATATGCGAATTTCCCGAATTTGCATTTTTTAAAGTTTCATCTGCTTCCAACCCGGGCAAACAGGGAACAGAAACCGTTTCCAATTCGAAACTCGAGCCGCCAGCTAAGCAATCCGTCCGACTCGATTCCCTCTATTACCTATTCCTCGCTATTAAAAATTCGCTCCTCTATCAATCAAAATTTACGCTTGCATCGTGCAAAACCACTATACCACACCATACTCTTTACAAATCTCGTTCAATTTCCCTCTCCCTTTACCTTGCAAATCCTCTTTTGGAGAAACTGCTTACTTAACTCGGTGAGCGAGACAAGAGCCGTTCCACTTTATTTATTTTCTTCAAATCAGAAATATTTATCTTCGATCTTTATCCCCCTTAAATACTTTTCTCTCGTCTCGGCCAATAAAAAAGCATAGTATATGGTTAATAATATTTCCTCGCAGCGTGGTTGCACCAGGCTCCACAACAATCCAATCTTTTTCCCCCTCTTAATATACCCGTACGTATACCCGTATTTCCGAGAATTTAGATGTTAAAATTGGCCGGTTGATTTATCGGTTTTGCGGGATTGCACCAGGCGCAGGTCCTCGACAGTGGCAAAGCACATTACCTGGTGGACTTTATAGAATCGTATTGCCACGGGAGGGAAGATAAAAATCGCTTATACCTCCCCTCCCCCCTCCTTCACGGCTTGGTATTTTCGTGGCTACCACTTAAATTATCGATACCGTGAATCTGAATTACCACGTTTCGCATCTTTATTCACGCCGGCTCGCCGGACAAGGACACGCGCCTATTTATCCCGACCATCTAGTCCTGGTAAAACGTGTTCCAACCGCGAAAGCCTATGGGCTAGTTAAAGTGATTTATCGCCCCGTAAAATATATATTCCTCTTGTCCGCCGTGTTCGAGCAGAAACAGCCAGTGGCCAATTTAGTTTCAATTCTCGTGCTAAATGTCTTCGAGCGAGTCGTGAAAAATATTCGTTGTCCATTGTTCCGAAAGGCATCGGCTCGAACACCTGAGAAATATCATTTCACTTCGGTGTCGAAAGAACCGAAGAAACGATTAGGTCCGAAATTTCACTTGTTTTTATTTGTCGACGAATCAGAGATGTCCATCCTTTCTTGACAAGTTATCTCGTTTCGTTCCCGATGAAGGCAAAAATTTAAAAAAGTGGAATTTTCAAATCGAGGTTGTCGGATTTGAAATTGATATTCCCGGGTAAGAGAAGATCGGCACGGTATCGATAATTTATCTCGAATAAATTTACAGTAAATGGAAAACAGCGAAAGTCGGACATTCAATCTTTCTCCCTTAACAAACTGAATCCAATATCAGATTATACGATTTACCATCCGTGTTCATCTCCATTTCTAAAAGCATTATATTTCCTTCGCTTGATTCTCCGTAATCGAAACGAACGATGACGAGAAAAAGAAGAAGAAGAAGAAGAAGAAGAATCATCTTAAAAATTCCTCTGCCGCGAGAAACTCTCGTCTCTCGAAATCGTGCCGCGAAAAATCGAACTCTCCCACTCCTTTCGACCTCCTTCGTTCAACTTCAACTCTCAAAAATCGAAAATCGCACAACCCCCGGCCTCGAGATTAAAAACGTGCGATGCTCGAAGAAGGCATCGAGTTTCACGGGCGCGCGACAACTTGGCCAAGTAATTATATTTACAGGGAGTGGCACTCGACCTACAACCGAAACTCAAACCCTTTTTCCGCGCGATCCTGTGGAAATCCGCGGCGCAGGACCAGGCCTGCGTGCGAACTCGGGACGCTGGTTCCGTCTCCATGGTTACGTACACCCTCCCCCTCCCTCGAAGTGGTACGGAGATGCAGGCTTTCATCCCTCTGTACGGGCGCAGCGCCGGGGCGGCTCCCGTGCGGCGCAGACGTTGCTTGCCGACCGGTTGACCCAGGTCGCGAGCCAATTTCTTCCTCTTCTCGCCAATTTTTCACTCGCCGATCGAGTGTCGTCCCGTCGTCTCGAACGTGGCGAGGAAAGTGAGGGAGGAGGGATGGGTTGGACCGTGGTTTTCGTCGCGAAAATTATCTCGAAATTCTGCGGAACTGCGGAAATAGAGGGGCGTTCGTTGAGGTGAGGGTGGCTGGCTCGACGTGACCTTGAGCTCGTAGAGACCTTGAGAGGCTGTGAATAATTAATAATCGCATTCTATTTCGGCCTTTGGCGTTTCCCCGATATGAAATGGGGGAAATGGAGCGAGATGGATCCTTACGTGTGATCGGTAGAGGGAAAGATCGGATGGAAACGGTGTCGTGACACGCGAGTTGACGAGGATTTGAAGAAGCGGAGTCGCGGGTGAAGAAGAGTGTTCGTGTATTAGCACGTTCAGAACAAGTTCCTGCGGTAGATACACGTCGTCGAAAGATCGTTTCCCCTTTTTCTATCTGGAGAAGAGGAAGCGCGATAGAAACGCGGCTGACAGGCGCCGAGAGATTAACAGGGGTGATGTTGGTCGATGATTCATGCAGTTGTTGGCAGAGGTTTCTCGCGGAAAACACGGAGAAGAAGAGTGGACGGAGGAAAAGGAAAGAAGGCGGTGCCCGATGCTGTTCGTAAACGAGCACGCCAGTCAACGCCGCCGACGTAAGATCGACACGTGGGCTCGTCTTCCAACTTTTCGCACACACTTCTCTTCGCGCACCACGTTTCTTCCATGACATAAGTAACCATTTTGAAAAGAGATTGTCGAGTAATCGATCGAAGGGAACACGTTCTTCGCGTTGCGTTCCTTGTAAATTACGCGTGATCGAAAATCCCAAAACGGAAGAGTGTCATGAGGATGACGAGTTAGAGGTTTCTATTTGGATCCCTGGTCGAAACGAGCATGACAAACTCGAACAGTAGCTCGTTGTCGCGCGTCTGGCTACGAGCGAATTGCTGCCGCTGCGGTGACACGCGGCAGGACACTGTGAACAATAACCTCAAGGATGAGACGCCACTGCGGGAGGAGACTGAGACCCTTTTGCACCGTATCGCATTCACGGTTTGGCACACTGCCCTCCATATAGAGAGCGAGGTGCGTGGGTCGCTTCCTCTCCCTTGAATCCCTCTTCCTGTGTTCCCGTTCTCCAATTATTTCTACGGGTAAATATATTTCTGGAAATAAGGGGAGAAGAATAATTATATAGGAAAGGATTTCGAATCGAAAGGGATTAAATCGACGCAGAATACACATCCCTGTGGAGAGGGATGGCCGCGATAGCGGAAATTTGTTTTCACAGAGATTTACGTAGATCGAAGCGAAATGGGAAATCGATGATGTTTATTATCAGACGCGTACTTCGCATCGGCTCGAATTTATACGCAACAGCTGTTTTCAGCCATTCGAACAATGGAAATATAATTTACGCCCCGGTATTTGTTATCGTAACGCGACCCATTTCCTTTCGCGACGCCCTTAATTCGTTCAGTCGAATACCCGTTTTCGTTTCTCCCTTTTTTTATCCTTTTCTCTCCCTCTCTCTCTCTCTCTCTCTTTTCCGTCTCGTGTTCGCCTCGTACGCTCGAGGCACAAGCCGAGGATCTCTTTATAATTCATTTCTTTCCCTTTTTCCCGTTGCAGCATAATGGAGGTTACGAGGCGCAACCGAAGAATGTTAACACCATCTCGAGGAGCAAGCAGCAGCAGCAACAACAGGTAAAGAGAAATAAAATTTCCCTATTTTTTCTTTTCTTTTCTTTTTTTTTTTTTTCCTATCCATAATTCACTCTACGTATCCCCATACGCGTAGTAGTATAATTCGTTATATTTCGCCGTAAATAAATCATCTGGAACCCCATAGATCTTGCAGACGAAACGAGAATCGAGAATTTTTGTCTCCCTTCGAAAATTGCGCTCGGCCGCCCGTCTCTCATCCACGCCGGCTCTCATAAATTATTCATCGGAATCTCGGTTACTACCAGCTCTGCTAATGAACCGATTCGAAATTTGCACCGGCGGATCTCTTTGTCGCGCGTTAAATTTGCTCGTGCGACGCCTCCTCTCGCCTTTGGAGATGGAAAAAACAAGTGGAAATAAGCGGCCGGTTGATCGTTGCGCTGTACACGTGGCTTATCGTCGTTACACCCGATAAGAAAGGCCGCGATTCGCGAGCCGAGCCCTCTCTCTAAATATTTAATATTAAAGCAAACCGACCGTGATACGTGCATACGAGGAAACGCGGTTACACGTTGGAGGAGCAGAGTCGATCACATCCCGTGGCTTCATTTATTCCGCGGGAAAACACCACGCCAGGACCTGTTTACATTCGAAACGTCGTCCATCGTTCCTCGTCGGCTGAACAACCTTCTTCGCGTTCGCTGCACCAGACGAAGTTCGGTTTCGCGAACGATCACTGTGCAAAATTGAACGAATCGCCTACGAGATTAACCTTCGAGCTGTATATACGTACATACGTACGAAATCATTTGTATCACCGAGGCTGTGCAATCGTTGGATGAAAGATGGGATTTCGACGACTCGAGCGTGGCTTCGTTTTCGATATAAATTTTATTATCCTGTTCGGGACGAAACTCGAAATCGAGCATTGGATTATTTGCACGTTTCGAGTTTGATTAAATTTTACAGGTAGGAAATTAGCGAAATCGAGGTTGAAACCGAAGACGACAACTCGTTGTAAGAAAAGCTCCCGGATATTTATGCACTTACGAGGAAAAATACGTCCTCCTTAAAAGATTTTCCGAAATAGTGGAATAGAAAAGGCTCTCGTTGTAATATGTCGAAGCGGTGAATCCTTAACTCTCTTCATAAGTACGAGCAAAGAAAGGAAATTTACAATTTTTCACTAATTTCATACGCTTATTTTTCTCGTTTTAAACGAGGACACTGTGTTATTACCGAGCGATATATCCGAGCGATAACCATCTCGGATACGCAACGACTTTGGAAGAAGTTTCAAAGCCGAAGGGAAGGATGAAAAACGAATCCGAGAAGCGGAGGGAAATGTTTTACGCTTTATTAGGAGGATTTTTTCCCCTTCCCTCCTCCTTACTTTTCCTTTTCCTCTTCTCCCTTCTGGAAACGATAAGAACGGTAGGCAGCCAGGCATCTTTTACGCGTTAACCGTCTCGACACCGGAGAAAATTATTCGGTAAAATGGCGGTAAGTTAGCTCACCGGGAGAGTATCAACCGATCCTCCGTCGAGATATCCTTCCAAGTATATCGACGTCGGCCGTGCAATGCACTCGCGAAACCCTTGTCCAACTTCGTGCCGCGAAAATACGTATATGTGTATATGTATATATACGTGTTATATACGAGGAATGTTTGAACGTGAAACGCGGCGTGAGAATTCTGACAATTGCTCGTAACTGGTTATTACCGATTGTCGCGACGAATCGTTCCTCAATGGCCAATCGTGGCTAACGGCTTGGAAATTTATTGCAAAATTGGTCTATCGATTTCTCGCGTCGCTCCGTGTCGTTGAACACGCTCGATACGCAGAGATACGTAGAGTCACGCGGATAGAGATTTTGTATTTTTATTTTTCCTTTTCTTTTCTTCCTTTTCTTTTTTTTTCCTCGATCGTTTCATATATCGTTTCGATCGAATTTCAAATTCAACTTGGGGAGCTTCGTTTCGAATCCGACTAAATTTCGATTAATCCGACGGGTTAAATTAATTGAATTAATCGGTGGATTAAAGGGAACGGGATTAATTTGCGTGGGATAAATTGGGAGAGAAAATTGGTTTGGAGAAACAATATTCAATCGGAATTGAATATTACATCAACTCCTTTTTAACCTTCCGTTTTTTAACCTGTTCTGAAATTCTGGGACATTTCGGGTCAGTTGGAAGTGACTAATAATAAATGATTAATAAGAAAAACGGATTAAAAAACGTGGGAAGAATTCGAGTAATTCGAATCTGATCGAGATTTAATAACCTCTGGCGAGAAATAGTGGGAAGAGAGAATAGGAACGCCTTGCAATAACAGAGAAAATTCCGATATTCCGGTTTGGAATTTACCTTTCGGCCGGATCTTTCGCGAAACATTCCCGTATCGATCGGATCTCGACGACGTTAACGAGGAGTACACACATCGGGGCGGAAAGAAGTCGATAACGATAAAACCTACTATCTCTCTCTCTCTCCTCTCTCTCT